CTCTGGTCAAAGGGGATGATCTTGGCCGACTGGCAAAGCTCTGGCCTCCTGGGCCCCTCTCGGTAAAGTAGCAGGTTCTCTGGTCCGCGGGAGGAGGGACCTGGACTTTACCTGTGACCACAGCCCCTGCTGGTTGCTGGGACCAGACGACCTGGGAGCTGGTGTCTATAGTCGTTTGACGCCTGGGGACACGTTCCAGCGCCCTGGGGAACCTTCCGCCAGTGGGGCAGAAAACCATCAGTGGCCACTGCAGGGACCTGACCTAGAAGAGCATCCACCAAGCGCAGCTCAGCCACGGCCTCCAAGGGTACCCTCCTGTCATAGGGCTGAAAACTGACCCAGAGAAAGCAGGGGACCTGGGTCAGGGTCCCGGGTGTCCGTGAGCAGAGCTTCAGGCCGTTCAGGAAGGCTGGACGGTCTCTGTGGGGATCTGGCCAGCCGAGGGCGCAGGTGGCACTGGTGCTCAGAGACCCTACCAGGGTCCACGCAGAGGTGGGCGTCAGGGAAAGCGCTCGAGAGCTGAGCACACCCTCCTCACACCCTCCTCCCAACGCTCGGAGGGAGACCAGGGAGGTGCGCGGTACGCCAGCCCCTACCCCACGCCCTGGGTCACCAGGCGCCTGTGAAGGGGGACAGCAAGGAAGACCAGCAGTCGGGGTGAGAGGATAGAAGAGGAGTGAAGAGAGGATGTGAGAGAAGCAGAGGAGGGAGCTAGCGGCGAAGGGGAGGCAGCAGGTGGTGGTGCTGGTGGTGGTGGTGGTGGTGGTGGTGGTGAGGACGCGGAAAGCGGGAGAAAAGCTACCACCACAAGCACCCGCCTAGGCCGGAGCTCAGAGGCCGGACCCACAAGCGCAATCACAGTCTCGGACCTGCCACTCCTGCTGGCCATGGGCTCCGAGGGACCTCAGCCAGGCTCCAGCGACCCCGATCCGGGCCGCCCATCTGCCCTGCCCTGGGAGCCCTCGCCAACACAGCCCTGCTTGTCAGCCTGGACTCCCTGTGCGCGCCCCCCGGGGTCCCCTCGCCCCGAGGCGGGGGCGTCCTCGCCAGCCCTCAGGAGCGCCAGTTTCTAGCTGCAGCTCCAGACACGCTGTGTTGTTCCTCCTCCCCAAACACTCCTACTCAGTGTCGGATTGTCCAGCCAGCAAGGTAAGCACGGCTTCCTGGTGCTTACTTAGTCCTTCGTCCATAACCAGCAAACTTAGGTTGTGTGCCAAAGACTGTATTTTTGTGCATAGCCTGAAACTGGCTGGCGTCTGGCTCTCTCCCACCCCCACAATACAGAAGGCAGGAAGGTACCCTTTCCTTGCTTTGTTAAAATTAGCAGTCCCTGACTGGGATTGTCAAAAATTAAAAAAAAAAAAATTCTTTCGAGGATCAAAACACAACGAAGTGAGCGCCCCTTACTTGCGTTTACTCATCTGGAGCCAACAGGTTGGCAGCTCTGAGGCCACGAAAAACATAGCAAATGGCTCACAGCAGATTAGTAAGCACAAGTGAACCCCTGCTTACCCAGCCCATTGGGGACCCCACCTCTGACCTCACTCCTGGCCCTGCCTGCTGTTGCTGCCCAGACTGGCCGTGTGGTAGCCTCAATGCCACCCCCAGCGGCGCGCCTGTGGCTTCCTGGAGACGTGGAGCACGGACACCGCCACTCATCGCGCAGAACACAGACCACTCTGAATCGCCAACAGAGTCCTTCCTTGCTTCAAAGCCTCTGCCCAAACCTGGCACCGGGTAGTGCCTACTGCCATTTGGGTTTTTTAAATTATTATAATGTAATTAAATTTTTAGAATCACGTTCAATTAAGACAATGATGTCCATTTGAAGACTAAGGTGCCACTGCTTCAGGTCAAGATCCTTGCCTTGCATCTGAGAGCTGGACAATGAATAAAGATGACAGAAGAAAAATCGATGCCTTTGAGCTGTGGTGTTGGAAGAGAGCACTGAACGTTCCATGGACAGCCAAGAGAATGAACAGATATGTCTTGGAGAGGGTGGAGCCAGAGTGCTCTTTGGAGCGAGGAGGCTAAAGCTTAGTCTCACATACTTTGGGCATGTTGCTAGGTTGGAGAGGTTATTCTGTGAAGAAGGACATCACGTTTGGAAAGGATGATGAAAACCAAAAAAGAGGAAGACATTTCAGCCAGGTGGAATGACACAGTGACTGCAGCAATGAGCCCTAGTGTCTGAGGAAGTGGGAAGATGGTACAGGGTAGGACAGGGGGACAGGGTTCAGACCTGTTGTTCACAGGGTCGCTGTGGGCCATATTTGATGTACTTGATGGAACCTAACACCAGACCTCAAGCCTACTCTTCTGCTAGGTCTCTAGCGCTAGGTCCTTCCACCCACAAACATCTGTGCCTGTGTGTGCTGAACTCACTTTACCACCACGTCCTGCATGTCAAATGTGCTCAGCGCACACCTGCCAGGCCACCTGCAGCGGTCTCCTGCCTTTGGCTCATCCACCTAAGCAGACAACAACACAGTACGTACCCCCCCCTCCCTGCCTCCAATGGAGCTGGTTCACTTAAGAGGTAAAAATCAGGAAGAAGATTGGGGCACCCTTTCTTTGTAAGCTTGTAAGTATTCCTTTCTTTCCTCTCTTGGTGGTGGTGGTGTTGTTGGTAGGTGCCCTTGGATTGATTGTGATCCATAGCAACCTGATGAACAGCCGCTCTGAACTAAGACACACTAGAACCCATTCTTACAGTCACGACGTCCACCCAGCTGCTTGAGGGTCTTCCTCTCTTTTACTGACCTTTCCAACTATGAAATAGTCTCTCATAGCAACATGCGCCAAGGATGTGAGGCAACAGTTTACCATCTTTGGCTTCAAGGAGCCCTCTGGCTTCACTTTATCTAAGCCATAACTGTTTGTTCTCTCGGCGGCAGTCCGTGGGATGTTCAGTAATCTTCTCCAACACCATAGCTCAAAAGGAAACCAATTCTTCTGACATCCTTATTCATTGTCCAGCTCTCAGACACAAAGCTTCAAAAGCACCACCTGTCCCTTACACACGTTGGCTACATCAGAGCACCTTTCCCTATCAAAAGGGATGAAATCCTAAAGAACTTGCCCTATAAAGAATCATGTCCCCCCCCCCAATCCTCCTACCCAAATGCACTTCATTTGTTTGTACAAAGCAAGAAAGCTAAGGTGTGACTAAAATGCTAGAAAGTATAAACGATGCAAAACTTCTTACCTAGTCAGAAAAATATGAATGGCAAGTGTATTTCATCCTGCCAGAAGAACACCCCCCCCAAATGGCAACAGAGGGGGGATGTTATTTATTTTCACACCATCAGTAGCACCAATCCCAGCAAGTTCCTGAACTAAAATCTCAGCTCCTTAAATTGATTGAATAGTTCAGGATGGTGTGTTTGATGCTCGTTAAACCTCTTATTTATTTATTTTTTAAAAATATGGAAGGCAGGAAAGAACGCTACTTGAGCAAATTTTTAATTTACAAATACACGGTATAAACATGTTTTGATATACCCACAATATTTATGTTTCTTACCTTGGTTCCTTTTTACAAACAAGGATGGGTTGTTTGGTGGGTGGTTTGTTTTTTCTCTTTCTCAAGAGCATTTGACGTCTTCAGTTCCTGATCATTGCTATCTGATCGCAACTCCTTGATATTCTTTTTAAAACACGAATACATATTTCTTTTTCAAGTTATTTAACTTTCAAGTACTTACATATTAAAATAAAAAAGAAAAAGTTGTTATCGTTTCCCTTAGGTAAAACTCTTACTAACTCCAATGAAATTCATCACTGGCCACCCAGGGAAATGACTGTACAATTTCTAGAAGTTTTTCAAATATACCTTCTAAACTCTCGCCTGACTATTGCTACCCGAATCAAAATATTTAATTCCTCCATAGAAAGTGAATCGAGTCAAGGATTGTGAGGAAAGGAAAAAAAAATATTTCTGGATTAATTGTAATGAAAATATCTCAACGAAAAGAGTTCGCAGTAAGAAAGTTGCAAAATTGGAGGGAGAGGTAGGTTCTCAGAATAGAACTCACAGGCGCGCGCTTTCGAAAACTAGGTTATCTTGGATTTTCCCTGCAGATGTTTTTTACTTCATCCCATCCCAAATCCCAGTATTCCGTAAGAGCGCAGGCACAGATAGAGACGTCTTCAAAGGTTGGGAAAGTCGAGTGTGGATGGGCGAGAACCCTCGCTGCTGGAGGATGCTCCCGGGATCAGATTTAGCAGGGAAGGGGTTAAGTCAGCCCGGGTCTTTGGCCGCACGACGTGCCCAGTTTTGTCTGCTAAAGTCAACATTTCCCAGCTGGAGCTAGCCAATGGGCGGCCTGGAGCGCGCGGGAAGGCCTCGCGAGGGGGCGTGGCCCTGGGCTGTCACTCAGCAGTGAGGAATGACACCGGGCTGGGGGGTGGGGGACGGTGGAAGGCCGGGGAAGGAAAGAGAAGAGACAGATAAAACCCGAGCAGGGGGTAAAAAGGGACGCGCACAGCTGGGATTCCGGCCACCGCCTCCCCGCCGGGGGTGGGCTCCGGAAGCGCGCGTGAGACCAACTCGAAGCTAGAGGGCCAGCTTGGAACCAAGTCGTGCAGCCGGAGAGAGACGCAGAGCGCACAGAAAAGTGGCCAGGCTGTGCGCCCCCGCGGAGCTCGGGTGGGGACTGCAGCGGTCGCCGAGCCCGCCGATCTCCTCCACGCCCCCCGAGGGGGCAGACCCCGGCCCGCCCCTGCGAGCGCCTTGCGATGAGATAATCCAGCCGATTACGCGGGGAGAGGAGCGCGTCCGGCGCGCTGGGTCGGGGGAGGGGTCCCAGGCGGGGTGGGCCTCGGAGGTGGGGTGAGGGTCTGCG